ACTTCATTTTTGTCTCTTGGAGAATGCAGGGGTGGAGGTTGAGATACAGTTTTGGCACATCCCTCATTTCATCTTCTTCCTCCATCCTTGAGCAATAACCAAGGCCAGGGGCTGTTTGATGCTGTGGCCCAACCTTGGGCAGCCCCCAAAGCGCCACCGAAAAGGAATACAAAAGAGGCTAATTTACATGTACAGTACAAATGCAAGCCAAGAAATACTGTAATTACATACATGATTGTATTCTGGCCACCCTTCATTCCACATAATCCCAGGGAGGAAGGGAGTGTGATGGGCAGAGTGTCACCACAGAGGAGGCCCTGTCTTGCCTCACCACACGAGGGGCTTCACCCACTGGGGGTGGGGGTTGCTGGTGTCCAGTCTGCTAACTGTTGCTCTCCCTTCGGATGGCTCTTCATCTTGACCCTTTGGTCTGGGAAAGGCTTCTCCCTGCCTGTCCTCAGCTAGATGGACCAAGGATCATCTGACTCAGGATCAGGAAGGGACCCCTTTTTAGTTTGGTGGATCCCCCTTGTGTCTTTGGCCTGAAATCCACATTTCTCGAAAACATGTATTTCCCAATTCCAAGGTGGGAGGAGGGGTGGCGTTCTTTTTCTCAACTTTTACCAAATCGATCCTGACTTTTTCTCCCAAGGTTTCCCCCCCTTTCTTAATTAACTTAAAAAATAATTAATTTCAAGGAGAATCTTTGAGCTCTCCCTGCGTCCGTTCAACCCTTCATCTCCAACAGATCTGAAATGATGGGCAAAATATCAAATGCTATAAGTCAAAAAAACTTGACAGAAATAATAGGCCCAGTCATTCATCTTAGCCCCTCAAAGTGATAACAATTAACTTTTGGACAGCCTGGATTTTCCAAATTGAGCATTAATCATGCAGCCACACTCGGAAGGAGGTGGCGTTGCACAATCTTGGCTAAGGAGTGGGAGAAATGGAGCAAGAGAATCGGGCTGGACTGGGGGAGCAGAGGCTGAAAAGTGTCACCACAAGTCCCTCAAGAGCAGGAGCAGCCCATGAGATGCCCTCCAGATGTTGCTGCCCTGTAGCTTCTATCAGCCCCAGCCACCATGGCCAACATCTGGAGAGGGCCAACATCTGGACAACAGCACCCCTACAGCAAACGAGTCAAGAGAGGCCTGGTTATACCCACCTTTCCCAGCCTGGTTTCCCAGTCCAGGGGTTTGGGACTGGGTCTGAGAGGAGCTGTGGTCCAGTACCAGCTGGGACCCCCCTGCTCCAGCAGCTGCGGCTGGGAAGGAGCACCTACTTCACACATAGAAGGTCCAAGTCTGCCTCCATTTAAATTGGAGGGCAGAGGGCCTGGTTATGACCTATAAACCCTACCCAGCTTAGGTCCAGGCTTTCTGAAAGACCCTCTTCCCTCATAAGAACTTGCCCCAGGCTCTGAGACCTTTGGGGGAAGCCCTTCTCTCAGTCTCAGTCTCACCACTCTCCCAGGCAGGAGAGGGCCTTCTTGGTGGTGGCTTCTGCCAGGCAACTTTGAAACTCACTCCCAGGAGAAGCTGGGCGGGCTCCCTCCTTGCTGTCCTTCTGACAACAGTTGGAGACTTTTCTTGTTTCAGCAGGGTTTGGGAACTGAATGCTTTTAATGAAAGGGCTGGTGCCGTACTGTTTCTATTGTAATTATCTGTATGCTCTCACTCTCTCTCTCTCTCTCTTTCTAACTAACGGTTAAATTGTTTTTAATAATTGTGTTCTCCCCCATTTTTAGCTGTTCTTCTTTTATCTGTAAGCTGCCTTGCGTCCCTGTCAGGGGAAAGGGTGGGGTATAAATAAATAGATAATAATATTTCTTTTCCAGCCTGAGTTCCACATTCCTTCCTGGGCAGGGATAGAGGCAAAAGAGGCAGAGCAGCAGCAGCAGCTTTTGAACAGCAGGCTACCTTTCAATCCCCACCCCACAAGTCAGAGGTTTCTACACACAGACCTGCATCTCTCCATCCTCCATTGAGGCAAAGAGTCCAAGGGCACATTCCAGGCAGGCCAAAGCGCCTGAGCACAAGGGTGTGCAGCAGGGCCAAAGAGGGCTGGAGAAAGAAGCTTGGAGGCTGCAGGTGGTCTGTGGGCAGAGGTTCCCCCAGCTCAGATTGCAGGAAAGGCTCCTCTCTCCCCCCAGACCCTGGGAGCCACTGCTGCTCTTCAGAGTGTGCAGCACCCGGGCTCTGCGGACCAATGGCTGCATCTGGGGAGTTTTACCGCATCTGTTTCTTGTCCCTGGACTTCATTCATCCCTCTTATAAGTGCAGCGCAGCTGGAATCATTGAGTGGTAAGTTCGGACTGTTGGGAGATTTTGTGTTGTTGTTTTAATAAGCCGAACACTTGAATCACCAAGTTTTCCGGGCATAGGCATGGGGGGAAATCCTGGTGGGGCTGGGAAACAGGCAGGTTGTGCACTGCTGCAGGAAAAGCATGGACCCAGGAGGAGCTGATGGCTAGTCCCATGGGCCAGAGGCTGGTGTGTTGTCAGCTTCCCATCGAGCACATCCTTAGGGATCCTGCCTTCTTCCCTTCTGTGGACATGACCAAGGCAGCGCAGACATCGCAGAAACAAGAGTGCCAACCTGCTGGGAATGTGGGCTTGGGCGTGGGGGGCATCTTTGCTTGAGGCCCTGTCCTGCCATGGGATGCCCAAAATCGTCCTGATGCAGCACATCAGCTTTCTGCAAAATGAGATGCAGGAACTAAGGGTGTGTTTGGTTTCTGTGGGAATGTCGTGGAAGCAACACACCACCTGGGGTCCGTTGACATGCAGTTGAGCCTGAAGAAGGCCTGGCCACTTGAAGTCTTGAAGCAAACAACTTGTGGGGGTCAGGAGGAGGGGGTCAGGTGGCCAGAAGTGCCTTTGGCCCTGGCAGTTCCTCCCCCCCCGTCGCCCTCCCCTTTTTTATCTCCCTGCAGCTACCTTGGAAGCCTTTGCCGTCAGCTGGAATCAGCTTCCTCATGCGTGCCCACTAATAAATTGGAAATGCCACCTTCTCCCAAACTGCATTATTACCGTTTATAATTTTGATTGTTCATTTGCATACGAAAATTAGTCCTGTGACATGCGTGAATTTTATTTTATTCCTGAACTAATTATAAACAAGAATGCCACATTATTTACATAACTAATTATTGTTCCTTCTGTTCTCTCTGCTTCCCCCCTTTTCGGGAAGCCCCCCCCCCTTTCTGTGCTGCTTAACGATGCAAATGAACAATCAGAAAACATTTCCAAAGTTTCTGAATTTCTTCTATTTGCATCAAATACAAATTCCTTTGAATGGGAGATGATGTGCGTTTCCATTTTAATGGGCCTAAATTGGCTTGATCTTAATTTGTAGTTAATTGGAATGAATAATTCTTGTCTACCTGGGTAGATTTTTCCCAGCCACTAATTGTAGATACTTATTAACCCATAAATCTGGCGTTCTCTTAGAAGGAAAAGCCCATTTTGTCCGAAGGAAGCGGCTTCCTCCTTTGACGGGGCTTCTCCTCCACCGCCCCCTCCTTCTTGCACTCTCGTCCAGCTCCTCGGGGGCCTTTGCTTCTTCCCTTGCCGGTGCGTTTTGTGTGACAAATGAGGACTCCTGTAATTTATTATTTAGATTGCGGCAGCGCCCCCAAGTGCGCCGACCTGTCATTCAGGCAGAGGCTTTCGCAGCGAAGCTGAGATGAAAGGCCCTTTTCAGGCCTTCTTTGTGTCTTTCAGAAAGACAGGGGTGTCCTCTGGGCGGGGGGGGGGGGGGAGCTCCAGATGAAACAGCAGAAGCAAAAGGGTTGGTTTCTGTACCCTTTTCATGAAAATTTATCCTGGAACAGGAAGCAAACGTGGAGCCATAGACCAAGCACTTCATCCCTGCGTTGCAAATTGTATTCTAGTTTTGCTTTGTTTTGGTATGGAAACCCCCTAAGATGGGTGCCCTTGTGGGTTGTTGGCCACAGGAGCGGAGTCTGGATCTTTTGCACAAGGGTGGGGGGAGGCAGACCCCTGCTCCTCCCACTTTTTAAACAAAGGGGGGCGTGGAGGGGCCTGGGCTTGCTGCAAAGGGCACTGCCCTCAGGATCCCAAAGTCCACCACCAGAGCACAGGTCCTGGGTCTGGGTGTCCCGGGTCTTTTAAATACCTAATGAATGAATTTACTTTATTCAGTCACAGATCAGCATAAGCAAAACATCTAAATAAATAGTGTAACAGTATGAATCTAAGCGAATAATTATTAAATAAATGGGAACAAGAACCAATTGTAGATTAAAACATTTACATAGAATATTTGATTAAGCATAAATAATGGGTGAATAAAAACTAATAAGAAGAATTACAAAAGACCCTTTAAAACAGCTATATGGGGTGGGGCTTCAGTGATACAGATCTAACAATAGGGGCCTTCATTTTAGGACTGATTTGTAGCATAGACCATCCTCCAATGAGTATCATGGCAGCGCAGAATCTGGCAACTGAATATGTGATTTCTGGGCTTTCGTCCTGTAGCAATAGGAAGATGTTGTGTTGTTCTGAACGCCCTGGGAATGTATATAGGATGGGCTGGATAAACCTGGCTCAAATTTCTATATAATACTGGCAGTGAAGAAGAGTGTGCTCCATTTTCCTGCTGCCCAGAGCCACATGGTCATTTCCTCTCCTCGTATGGTATTTTCCTATAACGGCCTTCCTGAATTGCTGAAGGGAGGGCCTGACAACGGGCCAAGGTGAAAGCCCTTCGCTGTTTTGGTTTTGTCCGCTCCCGGTCTTTATGCCAACGTCTCCTTTCCAAACATGCCCTGTCTTTTGTGAGAGATCAGCAGCCAAACCTAACAAATACATATTCTTGCTAGTTGGCATGAGAAGGGACTAATGCCACAGAGCTGTATTGCTGATGGGCTGATACTCAGGCCATAGAAATAGAATTGGTAGAGAGGGTTCTTTGTGATGTCATTTCCCCTCCCCTCCTGGAGAGGAAGGAGCATGTAGTACTTCCTGTTCCTCCATCTCTCTCTCTTCCTTTGGCCAGAGTTGGATGCAAACACACATGTGCTTGCTCCAGCTTTAGGCACATGCCCGAAGCTAGTTATATTGTAAATTTAAGTATTTTGCCTGCATGGATTCTACTGCTGCTATTGCTGTGAAACAATGCAAGATTGTAAGTAAGTCAATTATATTTATAAACTTACTTCCCAAGTTATTGCCTGTAAGAAAGAGGTGCCAGCTTATTTCATAGCTGGAGTTGCTCAAAACAAGGCTTTACAGCCTAATTTATGGAATCATAGAGCCATAGAGTTGGAAGGGACACCAAGGGTCATCTAGCCCAACCGCCTGCAATGCAGGAATCTCAGCTAAAGCATCCAGGACAGGAGGCCATCCAACCTCTGCTTAGAAACCTCCAAATGTCAGGATGCTGTCAGTGACTCCTGGCTGGTTGGCCGGAAAAGTATAAAGACCAGGAAAAGTTTCTTACAGTTCTTTTTTATTTCAGACCTTACAGAGAGAGCCTCTTGGATAATGGCGTTGTCCTGAGTGAATCTCCACCCCCCTTCTCTCCCACTCCCTCATTGGTCATCGTCTCCTCTGTGCCCTCTGCCTTTGAGCTCTTTGCTCTCCTACTTTTAAGGCTTACCGGGTTCTCGGAGATGAAGGGTCTGGAATGCTTTCTAGTGACAATGTGTCAGCCAACTGCTGCTCCGGCTGCCTGCTCCGCCTCTCCCATCATTTCCCAAATTTCCCCTCATCTGCCTCTGAGCTGTGACCTCCCACAAACCCCTGTTGTAAATCTATACTATCTTCCTCTTCCTCCTCCATCGAAGGGTCAGGATGGGGAGGTGGTCTCCACCACTCCTCCTCCTCTGTCCAGCCCCTGACATCACCCCCCTTCTTCTGCCCAGTCCCTGACACCAAGGAAGGAGAGTCCACCACCTCCCAAGGGAGATTCCACTGTCGATCAGCTGTTATTGTCAAGAAAGTTTTTCTGAATGTTTAGTTGGAATCTCCTTCCTTGAAACTGGAAGCCATTGGTTCAAGTTTTACCCTCCAGAGCAGGAGAAAACAAGCTTGTTCCCTCTTCCATGTGACAGCCCTTAAGATATTTGAAGATGGCAATCATACCTCCTCTCAGTCTCCTCTTTCGCAGGCTAAACATACCCAGTTCCTTCAAGCGCTCCTCGTAAGGCTTGGTTTCCAGACCCTTGATCATCTTGGTCGCCCTCCTCTGCACATGTTCCAGCTTGTCAAGATCCTTCTTAAATTGTGGTGCCCAGAATTGGACACAGTATCCCAGGTGTGGTCTGACCAAGGCAGAAGAGTGTGGGACTATATCTTCCCTTGAGCTGGACACTAGACTTCCGTGGAAGTATATTCCTATGCTCTTAGTTTTGCTGCTGAGAATGGGATTTTGAAACTGTTCAACCCACAAACGTGGGAGCCTGGAAGGCTAAATTGCAATTAATATATCCTCTCCTACCCATTAAAACCCATCCCACATCTTTTGTGTTGTAGGATTGTTGTTGTGAGAGGGGCCAAGGAGGGCAGCAGTGAGAGTCAAGCAGCACAGCCAGCCAGCAAATTCAGAGCTGAGAGGAGAGTGGAAACCTGAGCCCTGCATGATTTATATCGGGAAACATTTGCTTTGGGGTTTTCTTTTTGCAACTGAAGTTGGAGTGTTAAAGTGCCAAACACGTCCACAATTACATACTACGAGGTCCCCTTCTCAAACAGCTGCCAGTGTCTCAGGTTAGGAAGTCCGGCAAGCTCTTGGCCATCTAGAAACACCTGTGCTTCTTTGATGGGGCTCTGATAGAGAACGACCCTCCTGCCTGTAGGTTCATCCCACTCATAGGTTTTTAAATTCCGCTTTAAAGGAAACTCACAGAATACTGAAAACCCCCATCGGGAGCCTCTCTCTCCGACACATGCAAAATAACTGGCAAGCCCAGCCCACCCACAACGGCACGCTATACGGAGGGCCAGCTAATTGGCTGTAATGGGATTAGGAACCTAAAATGCTAATGTTTGAATGAGAATTTAATAAACTCTAATGTGATCGTGAAGAGGAGACCTCGGCTTCGAATTTCCTGGCCTGCCAGTGGGGAATAGGCAGCTGCGATTAGCCAAACAAAATGGGCTCATTATTGTGCCAGGTACTTCGGAAAATTTGTAATCAAAATATTCAGCTACAAAGGGGAATCCATTTGCAAAGAGGCGTTGGGCTGAAGGAAGCCAAGAGCAGGCTGGGAGTCTTGGGTGAAAAAGCAAAGGGGTTGGGGGGGGGGGGAATCGGTGCTGCCTTGATCGGAAGGGGTGAGCGATCGCTGCAGGACCCTCCCCATACCAAGGTGTGAAGGGCCTCAGCTCTGCAAGGATGCTGCCAGGGTCTTTCCATCCTGCAAACACTGAAGAAGAAGGTGGGCTCCTTTCAGGAGGTGATATAGGGAAGAATTTTGGCAGGTCTTGAGCACCTGTTTGGAAAATCAAAATATATGTCATACACTGCAGAGTTAAACTCTGGAACTCCCTCCCACAGGAGGCAGCAAAAGCTTTAAGGAGGGCTATTAAGAGGGTTACTAGCCATGGTGGCTATTCTGAGGGGTGTTGCACTGTCCACAGGTGCCCGGGGCGGGTGGGGGTGTACGCACGCCCCCCAAGCGGGAATGGGGCACGCTCACCCAGCCCTCGCTGCTGCTGCCGGGCTCCCTCCGGGCTCACCCAGCCCCAGCTGCTGATGGGTGGGCACTCGCGCACCAGGCGGGGGTGGGGTGCAGAGGGTCTCTTCCCCCTCCGCACCCTCCCCCCGCCAGGTACTGGGGGGCGTCAGCTGGTGGACAGGAGCGGGGCAGGGCATGGAGGGTGAAGAACATCCTCTGCACTCACCCAGGGGGCACACAAACTGGGCCCATGCGGGGGATGCCTGGTTCACCCCCCCCATCTGCCCCCGGGCCCCCAGCCTCCCTGGCTCCCCCAGGCTCTGCCCTGCTCTGCCTCCACAGTGGGAGACAGCAAGGCTTCTGAATCCCAGCTGGTGGAAACCACAGGAGGGGTGGGTGCCGCTGCCCTCAAGTCCTGTTCACGGTCTACCTGCGCCCCATTGCCTGATCCAAAGGGCTCTTCTTACATTCAGAGATCATGTAAAGAAAGGCAGAAAAGCAGTCTCCTTCAATCCTTCACAGTCCTGATACTTACAGCAAAATACCAAAACAAAGGGGGGGGGAAGGGTTTGCTGACCTTTATAAATGATACCAAGCAAAAAAGAACAACAACAAACCTTAAGTATATGCAGTTTCACAACTTTGATGTCCAACTCACAAACTCAGCCTACCTACAGGGCTGTTGTGAAGATAAAAGAGGGAATGGGAAAACAGGCATGAGCTCCTGGATGAAAACCAATACACAAATATACAAGCAACAATATGTGCAGATTAACAATTCTCTTTTTAAAAAATATATTTTATTTTTCATTTTTTAAACAAAATTTGTATATATTCACCTCATTTTCAAATTTTGCACTCCTGGGATTACTTAGATACCTCGGACTTCCCCCACCCCCCACCCCTGGTTTCCAAATTTTCCCCTATTTCTTTGCATCTAATTACATTTTTCAAGTTCATTTTTTCACTCTTCCCCCCCACTTAACTTATATTACATTATACGTGTTACAATAATCCTGCTAACGTTTTTAAATATACACAGTGGTTTTTAAGATATTCTATAAACAATTCCACTCTTGATTGCATTTCTTGTCCTCTTGGTGTCTGATCCTCACGGTCATCTTTGCCATTTCGACATAGTCCATCATCTTGGTTATCCACTCTTTTTCTTCCTTCCACTTCTGGGCAAGTAACATTCGTTGTCGCGTACATAAATAGTCTTTTGAATTCTATGGGTAATTCATCTCCTGTTAACCCTATAGAAAGGCTTCTGGTTTTTTGATAAAAGTTATCTTAAACATTTTTTTCATTTCATTGTATATAATTTCCCAGAAGTCTTTTACTATTTTACATGTCCACCACATGTGGTAGAAAGTACCGGTACCTTCCCAGATTACACCTCTTTCTTCCTTCTTCCTTCCTTCCTTCCTTCCTTCCTTTCTTTCTTTCTTTCTTTCTTTCTTTCTTTCTTTCTTTCTTTTTCTTCTAGCCAAGCTCTTGTACCTTGACTGGCAGAAATTGGCCTGGTGAAGCTTTTTCTGGTCTGCAACACGACCTCCCCCTGGGCTGACCTCTGAGCATCCGTCGGTGACATTCTGTCCTTTTGCCTATCTGAGGACTGCGGGAAGCATTTCTTCAACTCTTGTTCCCAGAGCAAAGCCCACTTCCCTCAGCTTCTCCATAGCAGTTTTTCCTCTGCATTCCCTTCGTCATCTTTCTTGCTCTCTTTGCATTCACCCAGTGCTTTCCCTCACACAGAAGGCAGCAGTTCGTCATCCCAAGCACCCATGGATAATGCAGTCAGTCAGCTGCAGAATCTATATTTTAAATCAATTCCACACTCAAAAGGCATAATAGAAAAAAGCAGAACACTATTTGGGCACCCAGCCTACATGATTTTGGACACTGGGTGTACCGTTCAGTGTGCTTGTTCAACTAAGTGTTTTTCTCGCTTCGCAGCTGGCTGCATTATTGACCAAGCTGGGGCTATGAAGACCAGTACACTTCCAGACTTGATTGTCTTTGAAGGGTTGCAGCATGCCCTATAGCCTAGGTTCACAGAGGTAGCTTTTGGAGTCCCATCAGATTTTGCTTACATTGTCACTTATAAATTGACCTATCAGTTGCTAGTAATTTGCATAATAAACTAGTGTAGCTGGAAACAGCAATTCATAAATCTGCTCTCTCAGCGGGCACAATTGTATTGATGGTAAAAGGATATCTCTGTGGTATTAGCAACCTGGGAAGCTGCTGTAAAGTCGTGTAAACTTGCATTATCTCTGTAAGACACTCCCCATTCACCCACTTTGACTGGCATCGTTTGAGGGCTGTATCTTGGGAAGCATTTTCAGAGTTTGCTGATACATAATAATACACATTTTGAAAGATGTTCTGCAAACAAATGTGTGGCTTTTATAAAAAGAAAACCTCTAAAAACATTATCTGATAATCTCAAAATTGGCTCCCAAGGAGCCGTTATGTTCTGTGGTAGAAAATATGAATTTTAAAATAGATCCTAAGTAGTGCTTTTAGATGATAGAATGCCACAGCTTACAAAGAGCCATCAGGCTCCGGCTGGCAGATAATGTGCATCTTCAGCATCATCTCCATGCTGGAGTGATAAATATTGGCCCCGGCTGGTGGGAGAGAGGGGTGGCAGGCTTGGCTATGCAGGGGAGGGTGACAGGGGCAACAAGGCCTCTGGCTGAAGAATAGGCAGGGCGAAGGGAGAAGGAGCCCCAGGAGCCCCGTCAGGGAGCGGGTGCTGTGCATGCAGAAGGCCCCAGCTTCAGTTCCAGGTAGGGCATACCCTCCAACATTTCACCAATGAAAATAGGCATATCCTATTACATAACAACAGCAACAAGAACAACTCTGGCTGGCTTCCAACATATAAAATAACATAATAAAACATTCAACTTTTTTTTAAAAAAAAACTTCGCTATGCAGGGCTGCCTTCAGATGTCTTGGGGTTGGATAACTCCATACCCTCCAACATTTCTCCAATGAAAACAGGGAAGTCCTAAGGAAAAGCTGGACTTTCCGGGATCAAATCAGAAACCGAGATGGCTGCTGTAAATCTGGGACTGTCCCTGGAAAACAGGGACCCTGGGAGGGTCTGCTAGGGCTGGGAATGTGCCCTGCCTGAAACCCTGGGGAGCCGCTGCTGCCAGCCAGTGTAGGCAGTACTGTGCAAGATGGCCAAGGGTCCAACTCAGGATAAGGCATCTTCCTAGGATCCCATGTCCCGTTGGAGGGGAATCATCTCAGTGTTTTCTCAAAAACAACCAGCAAAGCAACTAGCTTTTAAAACAAAAAAAGACAAAAAGGTGCCTGTATTTGCCATGAAGTTGTTACAGTACACACTTTTAACATGTGGGAGGGAGGAAAGGGGCCAGTGCTATGGACCCATGAGGACCCCCAGAAAAAAGCACTGCTAATGGGCCGCGACAATCAGGGCGGACATTGGTAATATTCAGTAGTAGGATGCCCTGAGCATGGCCAACAACTGATACCCCTAAATGGATCTTCTTCGTTATGGGTTTTCTCAATTTTGCACCCCCTGAGGCATCTGAAGCCACAGACCTACTCAGAAGCTCAGGGAGTTCTTGACCCACCTGGAGATGCCTTGTCAATGGCATGATCTGACTCAGAAGTAGGAGCACCTTCACACAGAGCCGTGTGTTCCTTTATAACCAGGCCTTTGGTAGATTAACATTATATGGCCGTGTTTGTGGGCATGGGGGGGGCAGACATTCTTGCGTTTTTTGCTTTTATTCTTGTTTTTATTATGTATTTTGTGTTGTCGTTTTGTATTTTTATGTTGCAAACCTCATTGTGATCTTCAGATGGAGGGCAGTATATGTAATTGATATCATCATCATCACCAAGCCAAATAAATCCAAAAAAACAAAAGCAACACACCCATGAATATGCCAAAATCACAATGCCCACCCTAAGAATGACAAATCATCAAGAATAGCCAACTAGCATGAAGACAATATTTAAAAATTGGTCCGACACATCCCATGAACGTTTTCCCTTGGTGCTGAGAAGATGAAGATGCCCATGTCTGATGTGCCTGGCTGGGAGGCCAGCACTGAAATGACCCTGCCCCTTGTCACCATGCGGAGGCTTTGGAAAGGGCTGGCCTGGGTCTTCCTCTGGTCATGGTCTGGCTCAAGGAAGGGCAGAGGAGAAGCCTTTCATCAAAAGGAGAAGAAATCTTGCTGCTGAAAGACAGGCCTTTTGTGCTTCAGAGGAACTATTTCCAAGCTAGTGCAAGGCAACAACATTGCAGCCCATGAGATATGTTCCAACCTGTGAAACGTGGCTTCGAATCCCTGTTGCTGC